TCCCAGAAAACCATTAAGTCTAAGAAGTCAACAAATCGGTCAAACTTATGTCGAAATCAACTTAAAACTTCGAACCTTCATAACTAAATATAGAAAAATCTAATTTCAACGTACTTATTGTATAACTGATTGTATTAAGGTCTACTATTTTAATAAAATATTAATCTTCTAGAAAACACTCTTAATTAAAAAGTTAATTTTTGCCCCTTTAATTAAATGATTAAAATAATCCAAAAAATTCCAAAATTCAATATTTGATTTCAAACTCTAGAAAATATTAAGTTAATGCTTAAAACACTCAACAAACCTTTTAAGACAAAACAACCATTCTAAAGATGAAGTTTATTGGCTGGATTACTCCAGGCTACGGAACTAGGTGTCCTAAGGAGGTTTGTTCCTCGAGCCTGGTGGCACAACGCCACCAATGGATTCTAAGGGGTGTTAAACCTTAAAGTAGATTAATCATTAATTACTTAACCATTTAAAATCTCTAATTCAACCACATTACTTTGGTTTATCGGCTGGACTACTCCAGGTAGAAGGGCTACGTGTCCTAAGGAGGCTTTATTCCTCGAGCCTGGTGGCACATTGCCACAAACCGATTAATGGCAAACTTAAATTAATGAAATATTAAAAACCAGAAATCAATAAATTTTGATTAAATTTTATAAGCTTTCAAACACTAATTAACTTAAGCCATTTAATCATAACAGGTACCACTTGTAACCTAGGCTAACGAGACTATTAAGTTAGTCCCATTGAAGGTGAAATAAACTTCACAGCCTCGGTGAGAAACAAGGGTGGTATTCAACAAATAATTAAATAAATTTTAAAAACAAATTCAAATCATTAATATTTATAGTTTAACTAAATTTTCCCTTAAGCCTTTCAATCAATCAAAACATCAAATAACTTTAACTAATAATCCTATTTAGGACATATCAAAATCACATAGCCCACCTCACACACACTTTAGAGGGTTTTGTTAGGACAACCAACTCTAGTTTTAGGCTAGGCCGATGTTTACTTTTCCGCTGTGTGCCGTGTTTTTCGTGGCTTTCATTGCATGTTGTTTGCTAGTTTAGAGTTGATGTGTTTATTTACTTACTCGCTTACAGCACTTTGTACTATGATTTCTTGTGCGCTAGATTTACCCCTAGGTTAGGGATGATTTATACTGACTCAATCTTATGCAGGTGGCCATGCCCATAGAGGGCATTGAAATTAAAGGGGGCATTAAATAAAAAATACATTATCATGCTTTGCACAGGTTCTTTAGAAGATGTTAAAAGATCCCCTTTAAATTAAAAAGAGCATGGCCAAGTGTGGCTAAAATTATGCATTTCAAATTTTCAAATAATAACTGCTTGGGATTGAATATACAACTGTTGATTATTATGATAACCTTGCAGGATCAAGTCTAGATTTTCCAATTTTGATTAATGTAATTTGATTATAATATGGTTGTAAATTTGTGAGGTGATTTGAGTTTATAATGTTAATATCCAACTTGAATTTTAATTAGGAGAAGACAACCCTAAAGGGGAGTTTCTTCTTCCATTTGGAAGTCAAATTAGGATACTTTTCAAATATCCAAAGAGGAAATATAACACCCCTTTTAAGGGGGGAGTTTCTTTTCATTTGGATATCCAGAACCGACAAATCAAGATGTTCGTGAGAAGATGAAGAAGTGGATAATGAGAAGAATCCCAAATCTCAAAGTCAATTGAATCTCTGGATTAGAAATTCGAGTTATTGTCAGTGGTGCCAGGCCACTTTACTTTTCTACAAATTATGGGATGTAATATTAAAAGGGCCTACGGACTTTCAATTTGAATAATAAATTTAGTTGATTTTTTTATTTGATTGCGCAGTAGAAATACCTATTTTTCTAGTCTTTTTACTTGCATGCCGTTTTTGATTGGACCTGCAGTACGGTTGTAGACTCTTAAGGACTTGTCAAAATGTTTCTACCTTAATTAAATAAAATTTTAAGATAAGATAGAAACTCTAATTGGTCTTAAAAAGTAAGCTCGGACTCTCCGAGGGTTTTTCATGCATCATATTATACTTTCTCTACCTTGTTAGGCATCTCCCCGCCTGCGGGTTCTAGCATACCACCTGGCATATGAGGGTGCCGATCTGTCAAGAGGATGTTGTGAAATCTCTAGGGAAAAACCTATTTTCTAAGTAAAAATTTTTAAACTGCTACATATTGATTCATGCATTTAATCGAGTCGACTAACATGCATCGTATTAGTAACAAATTTAAAAAAAGTCTAATACTTAGATGCATGTATTTAGACATCAAATACCCAACATAAGTCAAAAGGGGCAAATTAGGATCCGTTCTAGATGTCGGCCCCGCTCACCTCAAACTTAATCTAATCGACATCCATAACCATTATTTCATAAAAGATCGGATACATATTTTTTTTTAAAAGCGCTTAGGTGGTTTAGCTGGCTTCCCAATCCAGGCCGGGGTAAGTCCAGATTTGCACTTTATTAGCTAGGTTCGGGTCACTTTTAAGTGCGCAATTTAGACTTAGGTTCTGAGGGAAGCTCGGGCTATAAGATCTCAACCTCCCGGAATTGAATCCTAAATTTCTAATAAAATTGACTATTAAAATAAACATATCTTTCAATCAAATTGAAGCCTAACACATAGGCTAGGCTGGAGTGTTTTCTGAATCATTTCAGAATCTTAAAACACTCCCTACCCTTCCGCCTTTGACTCCCAAAATAAATGCTTAATCTTGATCCAATCCCACTTGAAATTTCCAATCTTTACTTCCTTTGACATCAAACTTCAAACTCTTAAATAAAATTTTATACCGCTATTTTAATCGAGAGTATTCGTAGGAAATTTTAATTTCATACGATGTAATTAATTACGAGGGCTTGCACTCATAGGAGATTTAGAAACCTAGACCTAATTTTCAAAATCAAGTTTTCAAAACCTTCAATTAATTATCTTTGGGAATTCAAACAAAAAATAGTGATCATTACTATTGTATTCAAATAATAGACAATAAACGATATTTTCTTTCTCCGATGATACATGTCAATCATTATTGTGAATTCGAGTACAAAATTAATGATGCCATATCCAAATTATCATAGCTAAATATTTTATTGAACACCATTTTGATCCTTTGGGATCATATGTAGTTCTCTCCCAAATTTGGATATGATATTTAGGATCAAATTTATAATCCTAAATCTAAACTCATTAAGGGATTTTATTTTCACCTTTCGAGGTGATATATTATCATTAATGGATGCTTGATTTTAGAATTAAAATTAAAATTATTCCCAAAGAAAATTAATACTTTTTCAAAAACACATTTTTCAATCAAACAGACACAAAGCCCTTTATTTACTAAGGTGTGTTATATTTTGTCCCCGTAAATAAAGATTGATCATATAAGAGGCCTATAAGAGGCCCCAAGAAGAGCCTAAATGAGAGAGTTTGGGAATACAAAAGAGTCTTAAAGCTCTACTTGCTAATGATGATGCTCAATGTTGCCAATAACATCAATATTCTTTGTCACCAAAAAGGCCGCCACAAACCATCACCGACAGAGCCAATATCTATCATTGCCAATAAGATTGATATCTAATGTTGTCAACAAAGCTAATGCCCACCATCAACAATAAAGTTAATGGCCACCATAGTAAACCAAGCTTACATCCACCATCTCTAATAAAACCAACATCTGTCATTGCCACTATTACCATCACCATCATTGGTGATGCCCATAATAATAATTACTAAAAGGGTCAACATTCATTGTCACCGATAAGGCAAATGTCTGTCGTCGCCAACAAGACTTACTCAAATCATTGTTAAACTTTTTTTGTGATATTTCTTGTTGTTAAAGAGCTTTTTATTGTTGTTCCTGTGACGAGTTCTCTATGGTTACTATGAAAGTTTTTAATGAGCAGTTATCTATGAAATATTGTTGGCTTCTTCCTGAGAATAATTGTTTAGCCGAACTCTTAGCAGTTAACTGATGTATAGGAAAATGCATTGATAAAGTTTGTAAACAGAATTTCTAAAGTTAGAATATTTCAGTAACAAATATAAGCGTTAATAACCCTTCAATATGCAATGCAGCCCTAAAGTGAATGCATTAGTCCTATGTTTTTTTTTTTTTTTATTTATTTAAACAGGACTAGATTATATAAGCATAATTGAATGGATTATATACTGCAATAGCCTGGAAACAATAAGTTTACTTATGTTTAATTTTGAACATTATTGTTGTAAAAGAAAATTGACAAACAACTGTGCTTTCACCTTCAGCTGCAGTATTCAAAATGCGGGGAAGATAGAACTGTATAAATGCTCTCATTTTTAAACGTCAGAAAACTCTTTTTTTTTTTTTTAAGTTATTTGAGACTCAACAATCCAAGAATGAGCTCACTTAGAATTTTGAAGGGCTTACAGGTGCTCTTGCTTGTTCGTTAGCTGTCAATATTAAATTTCTGTAAGCTGACAATGGTATGTTATTTAGGTGCGTACATCAAATTCTGTGTAGCAGTAGAAACTAGTCGCACAATTCTAAGACAAGGTGATGATGGAAAATTGTTTCTAATGTTGAGCAAAAAAAAGTATTCATGTTGGTTGATCTGGAGCCAGGGGTTGTTGAATAAATAGAGAAAGGTGAGGTGGAGAGATGTGTTCTCCAAAATCAACAAAGTAACAATTCCTTAAAGTGAAAGACAAACTACATCTGAAACAACAGCATTACAAATTGACTCATCACACATGGTTCTTGGTTCAAAATATGGGAAATGTGCTCACAATATCAAGAGAAACCATAGCATAGGATCATCTTCCATCGAATAATTTTGAATTCAAAATATGATACCTAAAATGGTAAAATCAAAGAATTTCTTTAACAAGCCAAGTATATCAATTTACAAGACAATGGTACATGCAAGTTCCCGCAATAACTTTTCAACCTTGCATCAAGACAAGCACGCAAACCTAGTTACAGTAACATCATGGCTTTGAACTCTTCAAAGCAAAGAACACCATCTCCATTAAGATCAAATTGGCAAATCATAGTTTCACAATTTTCGATTGCACTTGATGCACCCAAACGACTAAGCATCCTCTTAAGACTACTTGCTGTAATGCAATCTTGTCCATCCACTCCATACAACTTGAAGGCCTCCATCAAATCTTCCTCCGTACTATTTTCCACTCCTACTAATCTCATGAAATCATCGACGCCAAGCAAAGCATCACCATCAGAGTCTGCAAATTGAAGTAGAGTTTCCATATCCTCGCAGCTAACCTCCTCTCCAATTGCCCTCATAAGAAGCTGAAGCTCAGACACAGAAATTTTACCATGGCAATTCATATCAAATTTACTAAAGAGGCGCTCCATCTCTTCCCGGCCACTTGCAAACGAAATGGAAGTCATATTTTTCGTTTTAGAACTTGAAGAGAAAGAAGAAGAAGAAGAAGAAGAAGAAGAAGATGATGATGATAACGTTGAATGTTTAATCTCAAGTATGAATGAATTTGCTTTGGTTAATTTGTATATATATAGTGGTAAGTAGTAGAACTTTCTTTTAATGTTTCAAATATTTGTGCAATTGCTTGTGATGTAAAAATGTTGCTTTCTATTGAACTCTAAAATTTATTCTGACGGTCAGTTTATGTTTGCTCAAAGTTGAAAGGGTAAAGCTATGTGCACCGATCGATGGTGGAGAAATTCTTTAATTTGTCTCTCACGGAAATATTTCTTAAAATTATTTTGATTCAATTGAATTTTTAAGTGGAATGAGTCACCGAAGTATCACACTAAAATAATTATATGTAATTTAAATATGCTTGAATATATATTTTTAATTGAGGTGAGCTGACAAAATTAATGTTAATTAAATCAGAAGTCTCTGATGATGGCTGAATATAATATTTAAGTTAGCAAGAAATTGAAGTCTTAAGACCTTTAAATTCAAATTTTAATGTCTTCTGTTAGTGAGTAATGCATTGGAGATTTCTCTAAGTATATAGTATTAGTGTTGTCCTAATAAATAGAAATTTCATTCCAAACAAAATATATATATATATATATATATATATTAGATGGTTATTAGATAAATTGAATGATTCAATTGTTTTTAATTCATTATTTATTTATTTTTATTTATTAAAAAAAAAAAAGACAAAGTAATCTTCTCACTAGTTGTAAAAGAAGTAAGTGTAGGGCTTGAAAAAATTTATCATGGCTTGCCCAAGCGTGCCGTCTCTGGCGATTTAGGGTTTCCTCCCCGATCCTTCCTTCCGGTCATTTTTCCCACTGTCTCCTCTCGTTTTTTTTGCTTTCTGTCTTGAGATCTGTGTGTTTTGGCTTCCCTCTCTGGGATCCTTGCCCCTTTTGGGCAAGTTTCGTATGGCGGGAGCTTCTTCCTCTACTCCGTGGGGAAATGGTACTGAGCCTATACTGAATAAGAATAAAGGCTTCTTTAATCTAGATGGCAATGGTTCTAAATCTCCTTCTTGATTGTGTTTGTTCAAAGAGGTACTCTCTAGTAGCTCATCTGCAGGTGATTCTCTTCCTTCTTTAACTCAATGATTTTCAATGGGGTTCCGACTGTTCTTTTATCTCATGATGAAGTCCTAAAATTAGCTTCTCCTTTTCAATTTATGCTGGTCCAAAAATTTGGATTACGTAGACCTAATCTGGATGTTATACGCCATTTTTTTGCTACTTTGAAACTTACAGGTTTTTATTCGGTTGGATTACTCGATTCTCGGCATGTTGCTATACAGTTATCAAACGATCTTGACTATAGTAGAGTTTTTTTCTAGGCGTTCTTATTTCATCTTTAACTGTCAAATGCGGATTTTGAAATGGATACATTTTTTCAATATTAAGAAAGAATCGCTTATAGTTCTTATCTGGATATTTTTTCTGAATTTGCGCCTTCATTTCTTTAACCCGAAAGTCCTGCATGCATTGGGTTCAATTTTTGGGAGACCTCTCTAGACAGACCAGGCTACTACTTCTCGAACTCGGCCTTCTGTGGCTAGAGTTCTAGTTGAGGTTGATATTTCCAAAAAACATCCCAATGAAGTGTGGGTTGGATCCAAAGCTTTCGGTTACTTTCAAAAAGCTGAGTTTGAAAAAGTTCCAGATTTCTGTTCTCACTATAAGATACACGGCCATGCTCAAAATGAATGTTTTAAACTTCACTCGAATTTAAAAAATTATACTATTATGATTAGTGGGAAGCCTGGATCCACTGAAAAAAAAAATATATGTGCCTTTGGTTGATAACAATGAAGTGATCCAAGTGGATCAGGTGGAACCGCTATCTGCTGATGATAACTTAGGAAATGTTTTGGAAAATCCTGCTGATGAAAACTTAGAAAATGTTAGGCCTTCTGCGGATGATGTTCAAGAAATTAGTGTGGAAGTTTTAAATGAAAAGGATGGAAAAAATTTGCATATTATGAACAATGAGATTGAAAATGACCCTAATATTTTTGTTTCTATTGATTCTAGATTTAATCATATGAAAAATCCTAATATTACTAAACCTTGTTTGCTCTCCAACTCCAAAGGAAAAGGTTTGAAGGACACTGAATTTGTGGGTAATAGGATCGATTCTAATGAGGCTTGAGAAGAAAGTGAATTTATTCCACCCTCTTCTTCTTTTGACAATATAAATATGAATCAGGAAACTACCTCATCTTACAATCATGATAAAGATGCTCAAAAAAGTTTTGATGAGGACAGTTTCACTAAGGTTGGTAAAAAGAAAGGTAAGCATACTAAAAATCTTTTACCTATTACTCCTAGATCCACCAGAGCTCAAACTTCCTCAAAAGATTGCAATGATTAAGGATCTCATTTAGAATGTGAGGGGCATTGGAGGTAAGGACTCTAAAATTAGAGTCTGAAATCTCTGTAGAGTTCATAATATTCATCTTTTGGTTTTAATTGAACCTTTCATTTCTAACGATAAAATTGCTTCTACTACTACTGCTTTGGGTTGTATTCTGCTAATTGTTCTAATAAAATTTGGATTATGTGGAACTTTGCCATATCTTTAAATATTATCTTTGATTTACCTCAAGTTGTTCACTCGCAAATTAGCTTATTTAATGTTAGATGTCATGCATCTTTTGTATATGCTTCTGGTACTAGATTGAACCGTACTACTCTTAGGGATCAATTAATTAACTTTGCTTCTACTATTAATGGCCCTTGGTGTGTGGGAGGTAATTTTAATATCATTTCTAATGCTTCGAAAACAGTGGGGGGAAATCCTCCCAATCCTAAAGCTATTGAAGACTTTAACTCTATGATTAACTATTGCATTTTAAATGATATTGATTTTTCTGGGAGTCCTTTTACTTGGAATAGAGCTAATTTATGACAAAGACTTGACAAGATCCTGTTTAATAATGAATGGCTTGCTGATATAGCTATGTCTAATGTTGAACATTTAAGTAGAACGCTTTCCGATCATGCTCCTCTTCTTTTGAAAATTAATGATAATTGTCATACTGGTTATTATGCTTTTAGATTTCAGAACATGTGGCTTTCCCTTGAGGATTTTATGAATGTGGTCATTACTAATTGGAGTTCTCCTATTTATCCTGATAATAACATCACTAGCATGCTTAATTTATGGGCTAAGATGAGTAGACTTAAGCAATGTTTGAGATGGTGGAACAAAATTGTTTTTAAAAATATCTTCTCTAATATTAAAGAAGTTGAGATTAAGGTTAATGATTTGGACAGCAATTACTTGGGTAATTCTAATTTTTATAATCTTAATTGCCTTAACCTTGCCAAGGATTATCTCTTTTAGTTGCAGCTCCATGAAGAAACTTTTTGGAGGCAAAATTCTAATGCTAAATTTGTTATGGAAGGTATTAGGAATGCTAAATTCTTCCATGCCTTGGCCAATAAGAATAGAATTAAGAATCAGATTCACAAAATTGTTAATAATGATGGTAGCTTGATTTAGTCGGATGAATTGATTTGTAGGTCTAGAGTTGATCATTTCATGAATATCTTTAATAGCCAAAGTCGGACTTGTCCTATAAGTAATCCTCATGTTATTCCTCAACTTATAAATGATGATGGCAACAACTTACTTTGTCAAATTCCTTCTGAAATTGAGATTTTCAATGTTATTAATGGCTTGAATGGTGATGCGGTTGCAGGCCCTGATGGTTTTACGACCAAAAATTTTCAAAAAACTTGGGATATTGTCAAGTTAGATGTGATTGAAGCTGTGAAAGATTTCCTTTCAGGGAAATCTTATCCTAAATTATTTCTTCCACTAATATTATCCTCATTCTTATAAAAGAGGGGGGGGGTGATAATTGGAATGATTTCAGACCTATTAGCCTTGGCACTTTTTTTAGCAAGCTTAATTCTAAAATCATTTCCAATATGCTGATTAATATTCTTCCTAGAATTATTTTGCTTAATCATACTAGTTTTATGAAGGGTAGAAGTATTTTTGACAATATTCTTTTAGCTCAAGAACTTACGCATAATATCAATATAAAGTTAAAGGGGGAAACATTATTTTTAAACTTGATATTACTAAAGCTTATGACAATCATAACTGGAATTTCCTTTACAATGGTTTATCCTTACTTGTCTTTAATGATTATTTCATTATGCTTATTAGGAATATTATTGAGAACTATTATTTTTCTGTTATCATAAATAGTAGAAATCATGGCTTTTTTAATTCGTCTAAAGGGTTAAGACAAGGAGATACTATTTCTCATACCTTATTCATTATTGCAATGGAATATCTCTTTAGGGGATTGGATGATTTATATCATAGAAATCCAAACCTTAATTTTTGCACTATTAGAGGATTCCCTATATCGCATCTTAGCTTTGTTGATGATTTTATTCTATTTTCTAATGGATCTATTAATAATATTAAAGTTTTAATCAAATTCCTTATTAATTTTTTTGATATGAGTGGTTTAGCTATTAACAGAGAAAAAAGTACCTTCATTGTTGAAAGCTCGGTTAATCAGATCAGAATCAATGCTATCCAAAGAATATGTGGTTTCCAGTCTAAAAAATTACCCATAAAGTATTTGGGTACTCTTATCTATAAAGGTAAGAAGAAAAATCATCTTTTAGAAGACATTTTTACTAATTTTCAAAAAAATTTCCCATTGGTCTTCTAATTTTTTGTCTTTTGGTGGTAGACTGGTTCTAATCAAGTTTGTTTTAAATTCTATTCCTATTTAATTGTTTCATACTTTACAACCTACAGCTTCTATTTGCATTAGATTAGAGAAGATTAAACAAGTTTTTTTGGGGCTCTAAATTTAATAGTAATGCTATACGGTGGTCTTCTTGGAGTAAGATTTGTGGGGTGTTAAATGAAGGGGGTTTAGGTTGTAAAAACTTATTAGATGCTGCCT